TCCTGCAGGTAGTTGTGCTACTGCACAACCACAAGTTGCACCAGGGAAGGTTTAAATTAGATGTTAGGGAAATTTTTTCACAGAAAGGGCTGTAAAGCATTAGAACATGCTGCCCAAGGAAGTGGAGGAGTCACCACCCCTGCAAGTGTCCCAGAAAACCTGTGTAAGTGGCATTGAGGACATGGTTTAGTGGTGAACATGGTGGCAGGGCTGGGCTGACCATTGACCTCATGATCTTAAAGGTCTTTTCCAACCTTAACAATTCTATCATTCTACTTGATTATAACGTTCGTTGGTTTGTGAATAATGAATGATCCTGTGATTAAACTGATGTGAAAACTCCCATGGTATGTAAATAGAGGCAAGCTGCAGTTTTTAGCTCCTTTTGGGGTTGCTAACATCGAGGGGATAGAATTTTCTTCTTGGAATGTGATTGTACATGATGTTTGCACCCATCATTCATAAGGAAAAGTTTCTTACAGACTTAACAGATTGTGTTTCCATCTCTGCTGCGTAAAAACAGTGTTATGGACACAAGCGAAATGGAAATCATAACACAGCATCTCCACTATTTTAAGAGTCATATTGGAACACATGGAACAGAGATGGAATTCCACTCTTCACTGCCTTCAGATTTGGTGTTCTGTGTATTTACTTAGCGCTAGAAAAGGAAAGTGAAAACAAACCCGTTGCCTCAATAAAGCCCAGGAACGGGCTCTGCCCCTGCCCATTCCCTTGGGACCAGGCACCATTTCCAGGCAGTGCAAGGCCTCTGGGCAAGCAGGAGCTGCAAAGTCATTCCTGAGATGAGACAAGAAAGGGAAAAAAAGGGCTGAGAGTCAGGGTGAGAAGAGCCAGCTGAGGAGCACTAATGGGTGAGAAAGCCGAGAGACAGGTCTGAGGGATGATAGTGCTTCTGGAGGGAAGGGCTGCCTGGAAATGGGTCTGGCTGTTCCTGCTCCGTGGGGCTCCTGGGGAAGCACCTGCCTCGAGGCGATTTATTCAGCTGTCAGCATGTTCTCACACAGACTCTGGATGCATCCCAGCACCGGGAGTTGGGCTGCGCACAGGGTGCTTTTCCCATCTCCTGGTTATTGTTGAATTTCAGGCTTTTTTTCTGTTGTTGCACTGGCTCAAACTGCTCCTGTTTCTCCCATGGAGACCTGAAAATAGGGAGAAGATTGGGCACTTCCACACCAGCAGTCAAGCTCTAAATCAATCAGATTTTCTGGGGGGATTGTTGTTATTTTGCTTTTTTTTCCCCCTGTGAACTTCTCCATGGAATTCCAGCTGCACTTCCTGAGTTACCCTGATTCGGTCCAGAGTTACTCTTTTTTTCCTTTCACAATTTCAGTTCCAAGTGTCCCCCTCACACACGTAACCGCAGCACAGCAGCCAGGATTGGGCAGGCTGCCCTGATCCAAGTGTCCGGCGTGGCACCCCCTGTGTGCACGTCACAATTTCGGGGTGACTAAGCACATTGGCAGTGGCTTTCAGTGGCATCTCTGGAGCACTGCTCTATATTTGTCTTTCCTTCCTTCCTCTGTTTGTGGCGGTTTAAAAGAAATAAAGCGTCTCCAAGCTATGTGCTGACAAGATTTGGCGATTCTGGATGGCAGGAGGGGTACGAGGCTCGGCGCAGCGAGTACTGGAAAGATATTTGTCACTGCAGATTCTGCTTGTCATATGCAGAGATGACATGCAGATCTCCCTCTGACAGATTGATAGTCATTCCGAGATGCATCCACCCACAAAAACCACAGACATGCTGCTTGACTCAAATCTTGACTTCAACCACAACTTTGTGATGCAAAACTGGTGGAGTTTTTGGTACTTTTTGTTAAAAATGAAATCTTTATAGGGGTTTTCCAGCATCCTTGCTAGTTACTAAAAACAAACCAACATCAGCCTACTGGATGGGACAGCTCAGTTTACTCGTGGGTGGTTTTGACATTCAGCTCATTAACATGTTTAGTCTGAAAGAATGTTGGAAAGGTAGTAAATAAAAAATTGGATGGAGAAATACAGCATCTCTCCAGAAGTTACTCCTTATGTCGCAGTGACAATGCCAGTTTCACTTAGAAGGAATATTTGTCCTGATTTTACTCCAAATACACACAGCTCATCCTGAGCGAGCTCAGAGCCTGGTCAGTGTGTTTGTAGAGGTAAATGCACCGTGCTGGGTGTAAAGGTTACACTCGGCGCTGGCCGGGGCCAGGAAGTTCACAGCTTGGCACGGAACTTCCAGCGCGGCGTGGGAGAACCTGGGCATGCTGGCCCACAGCCAGGGAGGCTCCCAGGGAAACAGGGAGCCACCCAGTGTGTCAGCACGAGCTTTGTGTCCCCAGGTGGGGAAGGCACTTGGCGTGGAACTGGGTGTTCTGGCACAGCGTGGCTCCACAGGCACCCCCGTGCACTCCTGACAAGCTCTGGGATGGCCCTGATGGAGCAGGGATGTTGGACCAAGTGATCCCTTCCCACCTGACCCATTCTGGGATGGGATGTGTGCCTGGAATTGCAGCCAGAGGGTCTGCAGAGCACAGAGAACACACATGGCAGCGTCTTCAGCTGCTTATGTTGGAAATGGGAAAGGGAAAGTACTCCAAATAAGTTCCTCTTGTTCGGAAACACAATGGGCAATTTAAAACCCCTATTAGGCTTGTGTGTAGGAGCATTTCCCATCCAGGGGGACCAGGGGGATTGCTATGGAGCTGTATTATGACTTCCCTGATATCAATCAAGCCCCCATTATGTAACCAGGTCTCCATCACACGCGCCCCAGTGCGAGGCCCCGCCGCGAGCACCGAGGCTGCAATCCCGGCTCCTTTGTCCTGCCCTCTGCCAATTTGCTGCAAAATTGAGGATGAGGCTTGAATTTGCCATTGTGGCGGTGCTGGGGCCGTGGCTGTGCTTTCAGAGCAGTTATTTGCATTGCCTTGATTAGCATGTCACCTGCTTCATTAGCGGAGAAAAGGCTCCTCCACACACTCAGCCAGTCATGCAAATTGAGGAATGCACGGAGATCCTTCCCCTCTAGGACTTGCCATTATTAGCAAAATTGGCAGATTCAGTTTGTTCCTTCCTCTTCAGAAGGTCACTTTTGATTTCTACCTCGAAATGGAAGGTCTTATTTAAGAGACAAAGTAATCCCAAAGTGGTCCCAAACTTTTAACATCCAGCAGTCCTGCTTAATGAAACCGGATGCCAAAGGAAAACCCAGGTGTGTGCAGGGCAGGTGGAACCTCCCTGGTTTCAATCTAATCCTTAAACCAACAGCCATCTCTCTGTCACCCAATCATTAATTTTACTGGATGTCAGTGATGTGTTTTTAGAGCCAGAAAGCTCCCTCCTGTGCAGGACTGAAATGAAACTTATTTTGCAGATGACTTTCTCAGGTTTTGGAGGAATTTTTTTCACTTCAGAGTCCACTAATTGCGAATAAAGCTTTCTGTGATGTCAGAGATACTCAGCTTTTGTGGAAAAGGGTACCCAAATGGGGAAATTAAACAGATCCCTCACACAGCTTTTCTCTGAGATCAGGAAGTTGCCATGGGGCACCAGATCTCAGTCGAGAATGGGAAAGTCCTAACACAGATTTGACCTCAGAAGCTGCAGGGACAGAACCACCACCAGCCCCAGCAGGGTTTTCACCATTGCCTGTCTCTGCTGGCACAGCCATCATGGGCAGAGGAGTTCAGCCAGAAAGAAAAGTTTAAAAAAGCTTAGAAAACCAAGAGTGAAAGAAGAAAAAGGGAAAATGTGATGGTCATGCATGAAATGTCACTGCAGAAATGAATCCGCAGTCAGGAATGACCTGTTCGTGGGCTGAGGGGAGGAACAGAGTCACTTTCCTCTGCTGACCAGATGACACAGCCTCTGCTCAGGCTGGGGACACGGTGTGATCTCCTGAGCCACCCGTGCCACCCCTGGCACCACCCACCTGCCCTGCATCCCCGCTGCCGGGGTGGTGGCCGTGCTCTGCTGCTCTTGCTGCAGCTGCACCCGAGGGACAGAACCTCCCTTTCTGCAGCTCCTGGGAGGCAGAGCCGCGGTGAGAGGCCCGGGTTCCACCCTGCTGCTTTCACACGGAGCGCAGAGCAGGCTGTGCCAGTGCCCAGCACTCGCTGCTTCTGCCTTTTTAAGGTAAAGATGAAGCAACAGCGCCCATCCTCAGGGGTGCCCTCTCAGGCTGTGCTCAGCCGCCTCCCTCTCACCTGACTGGCACAGGCTCCGGGCAGTCTGACAAATTTGTGTGTCTGCTTATCCCTGGATGGCAGGAGGGGAAGGAGTGACTCAGGTACGTGTCTCTGCTGCTCAGGGAAAACGAAATCCTGCTCCTCCACCGCGCCGGCGGCAGCCCAGTGCCGCGCTCCCTCTGCACACACCTTGCTGCAGAGGGGAAGGCAGATTTGCCAGGAGATATATATGGAAATACATGTGATTAAGGAGTCACAATCTCACCGACAAATCTGGCTGGGAGACTGCTGGTCAGGCTGCCCTCCTTCCTCCCGCCCCTCGGGTGCCCTCCTGAAAGCTGAGCTCTCCTGATGACCTGAGCTGGGGGCACGCACCCACCTCAGACAGTGTGTGCACTTACCACATTAAAGATGATTAATTGTACCAGGTAGTTCCTGCTACAACTTAATCAAATACACATAATCAGCAACGCTCCTGTGCACACGATACTTGGAGCTGGAGGGGTTTTTAACTCTCACATGCTCCAATGACAGCCACAAACCTGAACTATCAGTGGGGAGAGTGTGAAGTATCCCAGCCCGGAGTGACCACAGGTGAAGTTCCCTGGGTGCCAGTGCCTCTCACTGCTGGAGGAGGGACATGCTCTGGTTTTAAAAAAAATCAACCTCTGGCCCTGTGGGCACTGGGAAAAGCCCCATCCTTACCTGCCAGGCCCCTGTGACACCACATCCCAGGACACCTGTGTGTGACAGAACTGCCACACACCACCTTGGAGGGGACACAAACCACCAGCAGCCTCTGACCATAGAGTATTTTGCATCATTTATTTAAATACCTATATTTATGCATTTACAAATTTTCATAGCTCTTTCTTTAGCTTTTTTTCTTTTTTTTTTCTTTTGTAGACAGTATTGCAGAGAAGTCAGCTTCTGTAAAATGAGGTCCATGTATAAAACTATGCAGCGGATTGGAGGAAAAAAACCAGCCAAACAACAACCCAACAAGTTTCCTTTCACACTCTGGAGAATCAGAAACCAAAGAAAGTGACCAAATGAAAGGGGGCAGGGAGAGGAAGGGGTGGGACAGAGCAGCCTCAAACCAGTGGCTCTCACACAAGCATTACACACATCAGTGCTCAGCTACAGGACACGTTTCAGTCGGTGCAGTGCCTGTTTGCTAAAGCTTTAGCAGGCACGTAGGTCTCTAATGAAAAAATAGAAGGAGAGGATCCTACACACTGAGAATGCAAAGCCTGGACAGCCTCGGCTCGGTCCTGGGAGACTGCACCGACTCGCCAGCAGTGCACCCTCATTCCAAACTTCATTTTGCATAAAAAGTTCCCTTTAAGAAATCTTAGCATTTAAAAAACCCGGTGTCTGAGCTCTTCTAGCTTCAGTACTCGAAAGAAATCTCTTGAAAAATACCTCCTGCTTTCCTCACTCGGAAGCTTCAAAATAATGTTTTGCTTTAATCGATACCAATCGAACAGCTCACGGAGTCCCAGCATCATCCCTGGGAGGAAGAGGCAACAAATATGGCATTGCAAGATATTTACACACATGGTACAAAAATGTCCAAGGGTATGAAAAAATCACCAGTTACACAATTTTGCAGCAGCCTCATTTACACCTGTAATTTTATACCATTTATTACATTGTACTAACACACCAGATCCAAAGATGTGCACTCCCTTAGGACATTCAGGAGTTCCAAATATATTGTGATTGCATAATTCATATTGCACAATTGTATAAAAACATAAATACTAGCTATTCTATTCTTTTTTTTTTTTTAAATACAAAATACATGTCACATAGTCAAATAATCTTTTCAAGTGCAATTCAGGTGCTCTCTTAAGTCCTTCCAAGGAAAAGGCAATTTTGATAGTTTTGGCACAAAGTTTAACCTCTGTCCCGTGCCAACAGTTCTAATCACAATCCACGCGCCCCCAGCTTGATAAGAGTAGCAGTCATATACATCTAAGTATAAAACCAGGGTATTTACAGGATGCACAGAAGGTTCAGGAGCAGCCTCCGGGCCGGGCTGTTGGGGGTGACCCTCCCAGCTCAGGCTGGTTGCTGCTGCAGGTTCACATTCATGGGCGGGGGGTGTCCAAGGAGACCGATGCGCTGCTTCTGCTTCCTCTGCTCTGTCATCTGGAAAATTAACAAGTTTGCTCATTAGGCCCCGGCGCTTCCTGTGCGTCAGCTCGCCCGCCCGAGGGCCTGTTGTGCTTGGCGCTGGCTGCAGAGCCCTGGCTACAGCCAGAGCCTGCTCCTGGGCCAGGGGGCACTCCAGACTCAGCATGGCCACGAGTGTCTGTGTGCCCGGACAGGGACAGCCCAGGAGAACTTGGGCACTGCCAGGGACAGCCCGTCTGTGTGCCCAGACACTGCCAGGCCAGGGACAGCTCGGCAGAGCCCAGACACTGCCAGGGACAGCTCATCTGTGTGCCCGGACACTGCCAGGCCAGGGACAGCCTGGCAGACCCCAGACACTGCCAGGGACACCCGGCAGAGCCCGGCAGACAGCAGGAACTGGAGCGGGGAGCAGCCTGCAGAAACCTCCCCTGTCAGGAATTCTCTGTAACCCATCCAGCAGAGGGGGCGGAAAAGGGGCGAGCCCTGCAGTCAGGCTGGGAATACCCTTGCCTTTGCTGGAAAACACTGAGCACTCCCTGCTCTCATCCCGAGTGAGCCAACAGCCCTCCCCATCTGCCAAGGCAGGGCTTAACCCCCTCACTGCCACACAGCCCAAACTTCGTTACTTAATGAGTGGGAAGCAGACGCGGAACGCCGTTCTCCCGATCGGTGAACCATGAACGGGAAATGGATCACTGGTATTACTGATATTGAGAAATGGACACAATCCAATGGCTCCACTCTGCTTTTTAAAACTTTGGGAGGCTTCTGACAAGTTACATAAGCCATGTAAGGAATGGCTCTGGCTGGGCAGGGTCTCAGGAGCGAACAGCTGGGTCCCACAGCTGGATCCCACAGCTCCTGCCCCGCTGTGGCTGCAGAGGAGCCACAACACGGGATGGCTCACAAGGAATGCCAGGACAGCCTCATCCCTGCCCCACCAAGGGCACCTGGGCTCCCCCAAGAGCCCCCACACCCTCAGGGCTTAAAAATGCCTCTTTACATTAATTATCTTCACTGAGCAAACTGAGAGCACAATTTCACACTGCCAATAAACTGATTCAGAGGACGCATGGAATAAAAAGGAAAGAAAGAGGAATAAAGAAGAGGGACTGTAAGAGATATTTTTCATGCTGTGTAGAAAAGGGATTGTGCACCCTGGTGCAGGTGTTTGTAGAAGATGTGGCTTTTAAAAAAGGGAAGAATAAAGCAACCAACCATAAATAAGAGGGAGAAATGCAATTTTGGTGTCAATGCAGAACATTATTAATCCTGCACTACACTTAATGCTGTGTGGAGAGCACAGGGCTGCAGGAGGGAGCAACTTATTGCCATCACATTTACTGGAGAGTGAATCTCCTGCAAAACCTTTCCAGTGACAGCACACCTGGGCTAACAGGCCATAAAAAACAGGCACAGCAAATCCCAGGGAGCTGCCAGGCCCTGGAATTGTGCTGCCAGCACCCAAACACTGCCCAGGGGCTCAGCTGAGCCAGGCTGGGCTCCCCAATAATGCCTGGGCCTGACAGAGGCAGCCTGGCTCCAAAGGTTGTCACCCTGAGCCACACCTGGAGCCCAGGGGGGCTGTCCCCAAACAGGGCCTGTCCCCAGGAGCATCACCTGTGCCTGTCACCCTGAGTCTCACCTGGAGCCAGCCCCCAGCCAGGCCTGGCCCCAGGAGTGATGCTCAAACTCTGGGAAGGATTTCTGGGTGATTACATCTGATCCCCTGCTGCTGCAGACAATTATGGTGTAATCTTTTCACACAGAATTAAAGTGATCAGGACTTTAATGGCTCTTGGTACACTTTGGGGAAGCAGGCAGGCTGGAGCTCGGCTTCTAATAATTAGAGTCTCCAGAAACCTAACAAGCTTGAAGAGCAAATGAATGAGAGGTTTTCCCTTTATTTAATTACAAGAAAATAAATACAAATAAGAATTCCCTGAGTTAGTTCCTTTCCTGGAGACAGTGCCTGATCAGGAGGAGGGATATACTGGCTTTGTCACATAATTGGAGCATCCTGCATCTTCAGCAGGGCTCTCAATAATGGTACTTAGGGGAATTCCTAAAAGCTATCACCACACTAATGAAGCTGGTTTCCTCTCTTGCTTTTACAGTCAAATAGCTCTCTAAAAGCTAAACCCTTCATTCTTGTTGTCACAAAGAGCAAGGAGAGGTTTTAGTGCTTGGTCAGCCAAGAGGGCTGCGAGCTTCAGAAGGAAGAAATGTGTCGTGAGGCTGTGGCCATGGGGGGCTCCTGTGCCTGCACCTGGAGTCAGAGCCTTCAGCAGGGACACCCAGCACACAGGGCTGGGCCATTGTTTCCAGGCTAAACAGCCAAAACCCTGCCCAGCAAGAATTAAAGCCCAGACAAAAGAGCAACCGCCTCTGCCCTGCATCCTCGGACCAAGTGGAGCAAGGGGCTCTGTGGCACCGTGCCTGAGCACTAATTACAGCCCTGGGCAGCGAGGCTGTCAGCTCCCAGGACCCCAGTTAATCCCTTCCTTGCCTCCACAGGGTGCTGGGGACAGGGCCCAGCTGCAGAGCTGATTGGGAGGCAGGAGCTGATCTCAGTGCTGGCTGCCAGGGCTCCTGACACAGCAGAGCTGCATGGAGACACCCAGGCAGGCCAGCAGAGCTGGGCAGCAGGGATGGCACTGCTGCTGGGACAGGAACTGCTCCATCCACCACCCAGGTGCAAGTCAGCAATTCATCTCAGCCAGTGCCAATACCTACATCAATTCACTAATTGAACCATCTGGCTCAGGTTATTAATGCACAGAGATAAGCAGCCACCACAAACAGCTCCTGCCAGCACAGGCAGCAGTGCTTTCCTTCCCCGCTCCCTCCAGTCAGGCTGGGATCCCTGGGGACAGCACCAGCTGAAGCCCTGCTGCCTCTGTCCTTCACAAAGCCATTGCTGGGCTGGGCACCAGCCCACGACAACCTCGAGCCCAGCCAGGGCAGAAGCCACCCAGCTCTTGCTGCAGAGAAGCTGCTGCACCAGAAAACCCTGTGAGGTCTGTGGAGCACTCGCTGGCTCACAGCAGCAGCGTGGGGTGCAGTGCAAACCCTGCTGGGATGTGTGAGCTGCAGGCTGGGGGTGGCAGCAGCCAAATCTCATCTGCTCAGCAGCACAGCCGCAGCACAGAGCGACCAGCACCACCAGCAACCGCTCGAGGCTGCTCCAGTGTTCTCGGTGGGTTTTGAGGTGCACAGGGTGACACAGCCCTGGTGTCAGTGTCACACCCTCTGGCTGACAGGATCACACTCAGCTCTTGGGGTTAAAACCCCAAACAACAACAACACCCGCAGGCTCCCTGCCCCAGCCAGGACTGATTGAAGTTAACTCTGGTGATGTTTTTAACAAGAGTTTTCCCTTTCTGATGTGGCCACTCTGGAACTCGCCAGCTGGGCCGGCACCAGGCAGGTCAGCTGGAGCATGGGGCTCTGGAGGGACTCTGGTTTGTCACTGCTTTCCTACCCACGAGCCACTCTGGGGAAGCTCTCCCTGGGGTCTGCAGAAGCTGTGGAGCTGCAGGAGGGGCTGGCAGGAGCCTGTGCTGCCCATCATGGTGTGTGCCTGCTCCTTACCTGGTCCTTGAGCTCTGAGAGCTGTCCAGAGAGGTTGGTCACGAGCTTCATGGTGGACTCCAACTTCTCCTGCAGGTTCCTCAGCTCGTTCTGCTCTCCCTCCGAGTCGCTGCTGACCAGTGACATGGCTCTCATGCGGGGGAACCAGTCCAGGTTTCTCTCCTGAGGGGCACACAGCAGGGCACAGTTAGCGTTTGCCACCTGAAAACCTGCCCCCAGAGCACAGCTCTGCAGCCACGGGACATTCCTCGATGCAGCAGCTCTGTACTTATCTGGAGCTATCTGCACTTATCTGCATTTGCATCTCACTGGAAAGTTTGCAAAGTGCCAGCCCAAGGCACTGCTGGGAATTGGGGCTGCTCACTTTGGGTTTCCTTTCCAGCCACTCCCTGTCCCCAGCCCTTGCTCCCTCACACACACCTCAGCATAAATGCACAACCACCGGACATTAAACCAGCCCAGATTTCATGTCTGGACAGTGCTAGAAATCTGCTGCCATCTCACTATCTTTTAGATTGTGTTTGAGGAAGATTTTCTGCTTTTTTGGTCAAGCAAAGCTTGGCCGTGCTGTCTGATAAAAGAAACCAAGTTCTGGAAATTCTTCCATAGCTGAAATACTTCCTTTTTAATGAAAAAGAAAATCCTATTTTGACTGTCTGGTTCAGGCTAAAATGAGGGACAGATACATTACAATGCACTGTAAAAACTGTAGGGTTTTCCCTCAGCCATACAAAGTCTCTCATGGTCCATGTTTGAGTACCAGTCAGAAATGCCACTGGACACAGCAATGCCACTGGACACACACTCACTCTGAGGAGCCTGTACAGGCTCACACAGGCACTCGGGTACTCGCCAGAGATGTTAAAAATAAAGGCAGGAGCGGAACAGAAAGCCACAAAAGAGGAGGAGGGGTGCACCCCACGTCCTGACGCCTTACACTTCAACATCAAACTGGTTTCCCATCCAGTCTGCTTCTCCTCCCACGCTGGAGATGTGCTCTGAAATGGAAGCTGAACTCGGGCTGGCTGAGGTGAGGTGTGTGTGCTCTCACAGGTGACACAGCTGGGGAGCTCTGAACACGCCAGCCACGCTGAGGGGTGACTGCATTGACACCGAGGGATGCTGTTAATCAAAAATCAATCAGCACTGCTGATTAACAGCGACCAAAGCTCACCCCACTGGCTGGCCAGGCTCTTCTCTGGGCTCCTAGCTCGTTTTTAAAGCAGCACTGCAAACTCCTGGCTTTTTGTCATTCCCTGTCTGAATCTCCAGCTCCAAGCCTTCCCTCCATGCTCGCCCTCGTTCCCAGGAGCATCCATCCTGCTTAATCAGGGCTGTGCACCTCTACAGAGAGCTCCAGTCACATCCTCTCTGCAATTCAGATGTGATGCCAAGACTCATCAGCTTAAATTAGCTGTCTCTGATGTGCCTGGAGTTTCCTTTTGCCAGGATGAGAAGGCAGAAAGCAGAAAGCAGGCCCTTTCCCATGCAGGCACCACAGCATTCCCACGTGATGCAGAACTGCCAGGAAGGCTGTTTGCTCCTGATCTCTGTTTACAGGGCAGATGGTTTCTGCTAATAAAAGGGGGGGAAAAAAAAATCTATGTACAAAAAAAAATATGCCTTTACCAAGACAAGTGCCAAAATATTTTGGACTTTAGGGAACGGCAGCCCCACAATTAAGGTTTAATAGCAGGAACAGGCAGCACTGCACTGTGTTCTTCCAGCTGTAGTAAAAGGCTCATTAGGGAGGAGGGGGCAGCTCAGCATTTGTGCTCAGGTCCAGCATCTCCCACCCAGGGAAAACCAACAACACCAACCGCACTTCCCCAGGTTCCTCCAGGGAAGAAACAAGGGCAGAGGATGAGGAAAATTGGACTAAAATGCAATTTATATTTGCAGGATTGCCTGGAGCCGCAGGCCCATGTCCTGAGGTTTCCAGGCAGACACAGGAGCCCTGAAGCTCCTGCCTGCCCCTTTCTTCCTCTAGAAATATTCTCCTTATTCCCAAAAACGTTTCTAAGGCCATCCCCAGAGCGTTCCCAGGCCCATCCTTGAGAAGGATGAAAGGGATGAGGGAAGCACCAACTTTCCCTACCTGCAGTGTTTCATAACAAATACCCCAAGCACTTTCCAACATCACTCTGCAATTGAAGCCAGCACTGCAGCTGCTGCAGAGGCTGTGACTTGATCCTTGCAGGCCCAGAAGGTGAAATCAAACAGCACCCACAGCTTCTGCAGCCTGCTCAGAGCCTGCAAACTCGCTGCGTTTCTGAAAGCCCCAGCCCTCAAAGTCAGGAAATCTTGGCTTTGATTTGAACAAAACCAACAAAGCACCTCTGGTTCTCATGTCAGGTTGAAAGATGAAAACCAAGCCGTGAACTCCAGAGGCTGAGGCAGGGGAGGGCTGAGCACAAGGGGACAGAGCCCTGGGGGTGTCTGAGCTCACACTTGAGCTGGAACTGGCACTGACCCACCTGGAAAGGGTTAATGGGCACCTGGAAATTCCCTGTGCAGGGACAGCCCAGGAAGGACCTGGACATCCCTGCCCACCCTGACTGGGCTGCACTGCTGTGCCTCCCCACCCCACAGCTGCCAGCACCACGCTATCCCAGCATCTATCTGGGCATGTCCAGCTGCCCCCCAGCAAGGAACAGGGGGTGTCCACCCAAACAGGCTGGGGAAGCACAGCAGAGGTGCAGATACATCCCTGTGGAGGCACCAGGCAATGCTGCTGGCCAGGCTGGGCTGGCACTCACAGAGAGGACAGAGGGGAGCTGCCAGCACGGCTGCCAGGACACAGCTCTGCCTTCTGCACACACTCTGGATTTCCCTGGAAACCTTGAGCCGGCTCTTGAGCCCCCCCAGCCCCGCAGAGAGGAGCTGGATGTGACCAGGCTGCTGACACACAGCCTGGCCTGGCCCTGCTGCGAGCGTGGGGGTGTTTGCTTTCAAATAAATAAATATTTAAGCAGAGCCAGCACCAACGGCACGGAGCAGGAATGCTGAAAGGTCAGGGGATGGTGATCCTGCTGGGCCAGCCTGGCTCCCAGCACTGCCACGCAGGGGTCAATAAAAGATTTATATCTCCACGATCCAGTTTCTGCTGAACTTCAGCTCAGCCCTGGGGTGCCTTTAAAGGCACAGCTTCATGTCCATCTTGGGGCTTTGGAGGCGTTGCAGAGGCACTGAGTGAGCCTGGAGAGGGGAGGGGATAGCCAAGCTCCTGTGCAGCTGCTGGCACCCACACACCAATGATGCCCTCTGCACCCTCTGCCCTGGGATCCTGGGGTACAAGCAGCTCCTCTTCCCAGCATCCTGGGGT